TCGCTAAAACCTTTGAAATTTCTCGCACGATCGAACGCGTTTAAATTCCAGCGACTAACAATCAAAGCCGTTTGAAACTCGTGTCGTCGATAATTCGACGAATCGAAAGCGGACTGGTAGCTACCTGATGCTCCCTTTTTCACGCAGACACCGTTGACTTTTATGCTCGATTCGATTTCACAACGTACCCTTTGCCAACAATTCACGTCCTACGCTCGACCTTTCGCGGTTTTGTAGGATTTTAACGTTAACAACGAAGAACAAAGGTGGAGCACAGAGTTATCGGAAGCTTTCGCTGACCTCCTGCGATAATTCGACGCAAAGTGCATGAAACGGAAAAAGTTAACGAAATGAATAAACTGGTTATCGTTGGAGATTTTTTTTTATTGTTATCTTTTTTTTTTGTTTAAATGTGATGTATAAAATGCAGATAAACTTCTGATATTTAATTGTACTTTGACATCGATAAAAATTCTGGAAAACTTACTTTGGTATAATCAGCTGTTATATTTTGTAGCATTCAAACACGATATTGAAATTGAAAAATTGGAAATTTGTACCGAAAGCATGGAACTTGGAACTTGTATTTAAAATATATTTAATAAATACAGCAAATAATCGAAATTCCTACATTCGTTCAAATGAAAAATAACTAAGTTCCAGCACTATTTTAAATATCCGAGTTACGAAGCGCATTCAGTTTCGATATTTATCGAATATCAAAAATCTTTTGTATTTGATTAATATTTATTTTTCGTTTCTTCGATGAAACTAATTCTATTATGATATTTCTATAGCACTGTTAAATTTAATTTGTAAAGTAAAATATCGTAGAGAAGCTTAATAAATGTGAAAATACATGAATTAAAGTATTTTTAGCAGCAATGGAGCGAAAAGAGAATAAAATATTATATATATAAGTCTATTCTACTGGTAAGTTAAACAAAGTATATCGAGAAATGTAATAATATAAACCTACTGTAGCAAAAGCACAGAAAGATGGAAAAATATGAGCAGTAATAAGAATTTTAAATATTTATTCAATAATATTTGATCAATATGCGATTTAAATAAAAATAATAATAATAAAAAGAAAAGTCCGAAATATAGTGCAGAACAACGGAAAAGTTTGTCAAAGATTTTGAAGATTTTGCACTACGAGCATTTTCTAGAAGAAAAAAATTTCTACAGCTACGTGGAAAAAAATATTTTACAAATTTCGTGTGCATGTAAATAGTAATTTGTTGTATTCATAAAAGTAAGTTCGTCTAAATACAGTCATTTGCTTAAATTGCTATGTAATAAAGATAAAAGCAGAAATTATGTAAAACGAAACGAAAGAGAGAACGTTTATGTTTCAACCGACTCAGGAATAAAAATTTTTTCATCTTACAGCCGATGGTGTTTTATGAAAAAGGAAACGCGAGACATCGGAGCGGTAATTGGGTCATTTTGAACTTTCGAGCATTGTGCGAAATTTTATCGTGTGAAGATCGCACATGTGAAGAAGATTAAAGAAAGAAGGGAAGCCGGTATCCCTTATCCATTAGATCTTCCCGAAAAAAAGCGAGGTTAAGCTCGTACTATCAATTACGTTACCCCAGTTCTAAAGCTTACTTTACACGAAATTGAATCAAGACGCCACGGGTAAAATTTGTTGCGACAATGAATTCGCTTTAAAGTAAGTTTGCCTACGCGATTAAAAGATTGATCAATGTTGTGCGTTCAATTTCATTACGCATCAGTTAATATGGACGTTACTTAAATATATTTTACAATTTATAAAAAAAAAAAAAACACGAGCTACTCTTTTGGAGTTTAATTTCAAATACATACACAGTTATATGCGCCGGTAACCGCTGGGGCAATTAATTATATTTTTAAATAATTATCATTATCCAATAATTATGGAGCATGTTGTATAATTGCCACGAGCAATTGTATAATATTGATACAATATAGCAATAATATATAGTATAATTATTGACTGATT